CGAAAATTCAAATCGTTTTCCCTTTTGAGACGTTTTGAAAACGTCAAATGTATCACCAAACAGTCCAACTCAAATCAACTAGTCATGCTTAATAGCTCTTTATATTTTACAGTGAAATTACAACATAGCATTAAAAAATCTTCTTTTTAAAAAAAATCTCCGGCGGATTAGGGACATAACTTACCGCCGGATACACCATAGTTCCGGTGACTAGGCACCGTGAAATGGCGGAGCCTTCCTTGTTGCTCCGTCATGTAATCCCTGCACAGAAAGGCCATTGAGAACTCATCTTCCACCTTCCTATCAACATCATGCACGAAAACTGCCGTCATATCTCCTTTCTTCCGCCTCCTTGCGATCATCCCCGCCGTGTAAATCGCCGCCATTCGCCCCGGGGCTTCTTCATGAAACCCAGTAGGAGCATCCACCATGATTAAATCCCACTCCGCCTCGTAAACCACTTCCGGTAAGCCCTTCAATGCAAGCACGCACTTAGAAACTCTAAGATCCGTCGACACGCGACGACAATGCTCTTTGTCTCTCGCTTCCGCCATCAGAGCCGCCGCATCTCTCACTTTGGTCTCGTACCGTACGTGGTACGATTCCAAAGATGGGAATTTCTCAGCGATTTGGTGGATCCATGACTCGTCCTCATCTAAGAAGATTGTTCTTCCTCCATGGTTTAGAGAAGCCCACATTAAGCTGTCGTGGCCCAAACCAAATACCAAGAAATTGCACGGCGATTTCTTCTCTAACACCTGATGAAATTTAATTTGTTCATTTTTTTGTCGTCTACACTTACTACACTAAAACAAACCACTATATTACACTAATAATGCAAGCCATTAAATTACACAATTAAGGCGTAAATTAACCCTTCCTTCCGAGTAGAGTTGAACAAGTGACGTAAACCTTGAGTATTTATTCTCAAATTTACCTGCTATACTATAGTACTACTCATTCAACGTACAATGCTCTAGTTGTTGAAATTCCTTAGGGGTTGTTCGTTTTATCATCCAAACGCAACATCTAGATACAGTAATCATATGTTGTTTTTTTTTTTATCAAATTAAGAAATGTGTCTAGATACAAAACTGGATGCAAAATGAAGCTCAAT